TTGCCCGTGCGCTTAAATAGCCTTGTTAGATAGAGGAATTCAAATAGATGTCCTGCATAGCGTCTAACGTCTTCAGAATTGGCTAAAGTGTCTGCTTTATAAAACTGCTTTCTAAGATCAATGGTTAAAATACCTTTGAGCAAATGAAGCCTGTAGGTCTTAGCGAGGACAATACCTCGAAATTCCTGAACTGGCGCTACACAATCACAAGCAAAGAACTGTAAGAAAAAATAATAGAAACCACATCACTTGAGAACATTTAAAAGCAGCAACAGCTAAAATGTGTATCAAACGTAACTCGAAGAAAAAATAATAGCAGAACCAAGACGTAAACGTTCCAAACAACTTTAAATAAAACGTTAGAAAGGAAGGAAGACCCCATAAATAATAGAAAGAGCGATAACAGTTACTGGACTTGAGAAAACTATTTTCCAGAGAAATTGTTCTAAGAGAAAGATTTTATGAATTTCAACTGACAGTATAAACTGCCGAATGGTTCCTCATAAGGAAACGGTTCATAATTCCGTTACCATTCTAAACCTTATTATTATTATTGTTATTACTTTTATCACAATAATCTGGGTCCATACAATCATTATTATTTTTTTTTATATTTATTACTAGTTTTAATCAACCCTTATTTTTTTTGCTATTTATCACAATATTATGCGTCAGTACATTTACATTATTACTACGATTTCATTCTTATACTTAAATATATACTATGGCACCTTGCATTATTAGAAAAAAAAGAAATATTCATAGAAATATGATTTAATTTTTTTCTACTCGGTTTATTAACCAGTCGTTAGTTTTTTTTAGACGAAGAATAATTGAGTTTGAAAATAATTCACTAAATTGTACTTAGACGATCCTAAAAGAAAAGGAAAAGAGAGGAAGAGAAAAAGGAAGGAACAGGGAAGAAAAGAGAGAGGTCGAGAAATGCAAAAGGCCGGTCATTAGCGAAAACAGGTGTCAGAAAGGTATCTAGGCCAACATGTTGGCCGAATTTTCGGAAGACAATGGGAATTGTTATTTAGAATGAAAAGTCATTTAGAAAGAGAAAGAGGCCAGGCTTGATAAAAGTGTATAAACATATAGGCGATTGATAAAAATGTCGGTCGGAGCACATGACCGACTTTTTGCGTAGAAGACTCATTATCAACTTGGAGAAATGGGATCTTTAGAACAATGGAAACGAAATTTTAATCGGAGGAAAGGTGTCTTTTGGGATGAGGGGTGACCGCTGGAATTGTATACAGATTCTGACCTGTTAAAGATCAGAACTCCCACGATGATGAAGTGAAGACATTTTCAATTCAGATAATTAAGATTTTTGACTATCAGGTCTGAGCAAATACAAAGAGGTGAAAAGACAATTGCTCTTGGCTCACAGATGACGCCAAGAAGGCGGAAAGAATTCTTCCTGAAGTCATATCTAATTAGCGGCGGCTGTTTTGACAGAACCCAGGTGAGAAAAAGCCAAGATTATCGTTTTTTCGTGCGTGCGAAAAACCAAATTGGATTTTGTTTTTTAGCAAGCTAATCCTTCCCAGAACAAGGACGGGATAAGTCACGCCCGATTGGAGACGTCACATATGTACGGGGGACGCCCAACCAGAATCTCATTAGCCGAAAACGGTCACGTGATATGCGGGAAAGAGGAGAAAGAATGCTCGATCAAGAACCATTGGTCGAAAACGGTCACCTGACATACGAGATACCGGGAGAGATGGGTATGCGTCTTCCCCAGAGGCACTGTGAGGAAGTAGGGGTGAAAATAATAGCGGTAATGGGAAATCAGAAATAATGCGACTATTGGAATTATCGAAAAATCCTGACGCCGACAAACCCACCCCGGTTTGTTGCGGCGTCAATAAAATTCAGGACCCCAGTCGACAGAAATCAGTTCCCCGGACGGCAGCGAGAAGAGATCACCTCGGACGACAGAGTTGAGTTCAGCCCCGGACGGCAGCGAGAAGGGTCCACCTCAGACAGGCAGTAAAGTTGCAGGCCAAACAAGCAAATCAGTTCCACCTCAGTCGACAGAAAAGTTGCAGGACGGAAGAAGAAGAAGTTGAAATCAAAGCCAAACCCGAGAACAGAAATTCGACCAAACCAGATCGAAGTGAAGAAATACGTCCAACTCAAGCCGAAGAGAAGAATCAGCTGTGAACGACTGATAGAGATTAGCCCCAGTGTCGAACTAGACCATACTCCGACATACACAATTCTAAAGAGTAGACAACTCGAAATCTTTAAGTTGTATGATAGAAGCTTGGTGCCATAGTCCACAAAGCGGGTCGGGAAGTAAGAACAATTTTTATGCAACGAACATTAGATATAAAAGGTTGTTACCCTTTTTATCAGTAATTTTTGTCTCGTGAGTTTTTTTTTTTTTTTTTACTTGTGTTTTGCCACCCCGTCGGACTCAACTTGCATACGGCCCCAATCCCTGTTGGTCCCGTCTGTCTAAGATCTAATCACAACGTGGGTAGACAGACCGGAGATCAGTACAGTTGCTCTAGTAACCAGGTATTGGAAGCGGGTTGGGAAAGGCGAGGCTGGTAATCATCTAACCAAGGGGTTGGAACGGCACACTTGGAACAGCGAAGAGCGACCAGGAGGAGCGACGTCACAGTTGGCGCCGTAACCAAAGGATTCGACCCTGGACCAGGTGTACTCCGTCACATACACTAAAATATATTGAAAACTAAATTATAGAAGCTTTTAACACAACTTTAATTGCTATTATCTCTAGTAGTTGTCGAAACTAATTTTATTATAGTCGGTACACCTCAATTTGTCTCTGAGTTTTAAAAGAAACACAAATATACCTGAGCAGGCGTCTACCAGGGATTAGCTAGCTACATTAGCAGACATGAGTATTCAGAAATAAACAGTCAGGCATTACTAAATTATTTTTATTAACTACGTGTTTTGACGCATTTTATTGTTGCTGCATTTATCCCAACACTCTGAGTTAATACACTTTTCATTATTAATATTATTTCATTACTAGTTTTTTTCTGTTCTTTTATTGTCCTTTCTTATCTAGTCCTGAGTATGAAGATGAACTGCATCTGGCAGCAAGGCCTTTGATCGGAAGATTGGTGTTTTGAGGAACGTTGAATTGCTATTGTTCCCAGGTTCACCCTAACCCGGGGTGCTAAAACCTATTACGGCTCCAGCTATGGGCAAATAGTGAACCACCAAACAATATGAAAGTATAAAAATATATTTTATAGTACAATACCAGCAATACATTTTATATATAAAAAAATTACGAACGATATATATTTTTTAATCAATTCACCCTAAGCAAAGCGATAATGCCACTAAGACGCAAGGGCTTACTGGGAGTGAAAAATAATGTGAAAACATTAGAAGGAACCGGAAACCCAATCCTAAACAGGAAACAATCGATAAATATCTACTCCTGTTCGAAAGACTGGGGAGGAGTATGAATCGGATGATGAATTACCAATAATACATTTTAAAGTAGAATTATCAACAATAAATTGTATAGCAAAATGACAAACAATACATTTTATATGTTCAAAATATTTAGATTTTGGCATTAAATAACTCTTAGAGATTGATATGCCACTAAACAAAATCAACCAAACCAATCAAAATATTTGGATTTCGGCATTAAACAATATATATGCCGCTAAACAAAATCAACCAACCATCCTTTATTATCACTAACATCTTCTCAATTCCTTTCACTCATGGTGTCTTAGTGGCATTATCGCCTTGCTTGAGATGAAATGATAAAAAAAAACTTCACTATTATTATTGTTGTTTTTTATCCTAACATCCTGGCTCAACACATTTTTCATTATGACTATTATTATCATGATGACTGTTTTATTGATATTGTTCATTGTTATTTTTTTTTATTATTATTGCAGGTTTTCATTAACAAAATTGAGTTGAAATTATTACTTATTATTTTATTGCTATTAATTTTTATCGCACAATATGTTGCCTCTCTCTTTCTCTCTCTCTCTCTCTCTTTGTATTGCTCTCGCTCATTTATTTGTAATTTTAGAATAAAAATTTTATTACTTATTTGAGTTTACTTCATTATTGTCGTTTGCAAATGTCACAACAATATTCGTCGATACAATTTCGCATTGTTACTAGATTTACTTTATTCTATTTTATCTTAAATGTCATGTCGCTTTTGGACGGGGCCATCATGACACGTCACAGATTCCTTTTCTTTATTATCTGTGATTTACTATAATTTATAAATAAAGAGAGAAGAGTAATTACTTTTTGCCTTCGCCCCCGTTTTGAATTCAAAGAAGTCTTTTCCTAGAGTGACTGTCACCCAAGGCTTACGAATATATCAGTTATGGATTAAATAGCAGAGTAGACTGGGCTCTCCAGCCTTGTTTTTAATGATTCGTTGAAAATATTTTTAGATTTCAAGAATTTTTTTGTGCGGGGTGGGTGGGATGGAGGAGATAATAATAATTTAGTGATACAAATTTAATTAATTAATTGCTCTGATGAGCTTTTTTCCTTGATGCCCGAACTATGTGAGTTTAAGCGTTCTACTTGATTGGCATCTAGGTCCCACCTTTTTACTGTTGTATTAATAAAATGAAGCCACAACTTCTAATCCAACAGTTTCTTTTCTCGCATTTTCCGCCTGTGAAATTCCCTTCAGTTTACCTGCTTCCCTCATAACTACAACCTTCCAAAATGTAAATACAATGTCAATCGCCATCTTCTACATTCTTGAACCCTTTTATCCTTTGCTCGGTTCTCCTTATTTCCGGTCTTTTCTCCCATCTTCACACTCTGTAACCCCCTGCGTATCAGTTAAATGATTAAAATAAAAAACAGGACAGAAGAGGTGGATTCATGCCTTTCCCAAGGGTATTTGCGCCTAAGTGAATATAACGAACCTGATTGGAATTCGAACTCGGCTTTCTGCTTACCAACTCCGAGTGATTATTCAATACACAAGCTGCACATCCAAGCTTACAGCACCTGGTATTCCCAAGAGATCACCCATCTAGGTACTGACTAGTTTCGACGTTGCTTAACATCGGTGATCATAGGGGAACCACCATAATTTTAAAAACAGTTTATCTCCATATTGATCTATTTAATTAGTGTTCCGATTATGAGACGTGGGTTCAAATCACGATATGGTCGATTTCCCAATATGATATCAGTTTGGGGAGACGATCCAAGCGAGCGTCATCGTTGAGGATTGCCTGAAAATCATACCCCACGGGTTGACCCACTAGCCTTTTGAGTGAAACTGTGTTATTTTGTGCTAGTAGTAAGTTACGAGTAATCGTGACTATGGGTTCAAGCGATGATCTATTGATCACACCATATTATGTGCTCTCTTCCAGAAATTGTACCGAAAGTCTGCTGATCGTTTTTACTTTTTTCTTTTTTTTTTATCAATTTCACCCCATGCAAGTCAGTAAAGACACTACGACACAAGGGGTTATTGAATGTGGAATAATTAGAAAGCAGGAACATTATTAAGTAGCGAGAACAAAAAAAAAGAGTAATCAGGAGGACAGTAAAGAGCGATTGACATTGCATTTACTTTTCATGAAGCAGGAAGTGAGTTCCGCAAGCTAGAAGTGCGAGAAAAGAAACTGAACCTACGGTTACATTTAGCCATTTAAACTATAAATTGATAAGATATCAACACCAACCTAGTACTTCATAAAGTCTAGGTACCCCCAGGAAAAAGCTCATCCGAGCAATTATCATAAAAAATATTTATAGAAAAGACTCAAGTGGGGAGCAAACTTACAGCGGTGGAAAGGCAGCCGGATCAGGGCCAATAATATTGCTGATTCTTCTTTGGATTTTGTCAAGGAGCTCAAGGTAAATATCAGGGTCACCAGATCATATGTGGCAGCAATATTCTAAGCGTGGACGAATAATAGACTTATAGATATGTATGATAGATTCTGGAGAGAAAAATTGTCTCGCACGACACAATGAAACAACTTTCTTAACAGATAAGCTAGCAATGGATTCAATATAGTCTTTCCACTTTATGTCAGCTGAAAATGTCAGCCCGATAAGACGCTCGCTATATAAATTTGACTCTGTGGGTATTCACAAAAATAGAAATGTGTCTGTTCAGGCGTCAGCAAAACAGTTTAGCTACCAACTACCAGACTGGCGTACATGGAAATGAGCATTCCAATTTTTTACCTTTACTAGTTTCTTGACTTATAGGTACTCCGGCTTGTGATCTACGAAGCTTAGACTAATAATTGAAAATCTGATCACCTCACTGGGGAATAATGTGGTAACAAGCTAATCTTACATCCCATTATTGAAATTCTGTATTGAAAGTCCGTATTGAATTTTACGGCCGCTCCATATATGTGGTTTCCTGTCTTATTAAATTATCATGAAGTAATATATTTATACTTAGTGAGTTTGTCTTGCAAATTATTATTAAGTTTGAGAGTTTTATGTTAACAGAGTGCTCAATATTGGTGGCCTTGTTTCATTCGAAGCTTAACGTTAGTAAATAGACGTAAAATAAATACTTGCTTTATATTTAAACTCATATTTAGCGATCGTCAATGACAAAAGAAGTAGAATATTGTTCGTTTCTTTTACAGAGTTTGCCCTGCAATGGCCAGAAATCATTTTTCATAAGTGAGTTATCAATTTAATCATTTGGGAAAGAATTTTTTCCCTTCTTTTTATACTTTTTTTTTTTTTTTACTTCTTTCCATTTCAAATCGTTTCTATTGCAATGTATCGAATGCTTCTTCACTTCTTGGTTCTGTAACCACAATCACGACGGTTTTTGTTTTGATAAAGACGATGATTGTAAGGGACAGTAAGGTGGGGATTGGCGATCTCGGTTGGCGGGTAAACGTCTTCCTTTCTTATCTCCCCGTAGCGTCTCTCTTCCGCCATCATGTGTAGGCTTTCTCTTCCTCAGTATCTGCACTTTCCTTCACACTCCGTTTTCATTTTTGTTTACTTCACGATTGCATTCTGCCTCACTTTAATAAACTCGCTTCGTCAGTCTTTCCAATGTTTTATTTTCTATCAATCGCCCTCACTCAATTTATTTCTTACCGACTTTTTCTTCCTTGTCTTAATATCTTTCTGTTTATCCATTTCCCTTTTTTTACTATCTTCTCCATAACATATACAGCTTCTCTTTTATCTTTACTATCTTTTTTTGTGGTTTTTCAATTTAGTTAGTCTCTCCTTTGTGTTATTTTCCGTCTCTGTATATATTTAGATTTATCAGTCTCTCTCCATCTTTAGTAAGTTCTCCTTAGTACATAATACAACTTTACTATCTTTAACTTATTTAACCTTTCCTTCTGATGAGTCTTTCTTCTATCACCAATGCTATTTTCTGTCTCTCTATATCGTTCTTTTTATTCGTCTCACTCTTTCTTTTTTAGTATCTTCTCCCTAGTTTATAATATTCTATTTCTATCTTTAATTTCTTTTATCTTTGATTGGTCTCTCTTTTATCATCTGTCTTTTTATTTTCCGTCTCTCGATATTTTTTGTTTATCACGATCTCATTTCCGTTCGCTATGTAAAGCTATCTTCCCTAGTTTATCTCTTTTATATTTAATATGTTTCCTTCTTTAATAAGTTTTCTTCTCTCAGTCTCTATCAGTCTCTCTCTCTCTCTCTCTCTCTCTCTCTCTCTGGCTTCCTTCTTTTTTTTTTTTTTTTTTTTTTTTTGCTTCTTCCTTTCCAATTGTCTTTCCGTCTGTCTTTTTCTTTCCAGCTTTCTTTCTTTTTTTGTGCTGGTCCCAAAAAATGGCCCATCCAGTATAAATAAAGTTACAATAATTAATGTACAGTTCATGGTTCACCTACACTATCTCTGGCCCTCCAAACTCGGCTTATCTCGACGCCGGTGATGCATCTAACACCTACGAAAAACGAAAACTCAAGTGTATTAGATTTCTACCTTCCACCCCCAGCCCAATAACAACGGGCAGTTTCCATTAAGACATTCACTGATAATGCGTATATTGATTGATGGTGAAATAAAACACCACAGAGCAAAAGTGATTCCGAAATGGCCGGAGGTAGATGGGGATGTTTTGGGAAGATGGCGACCGGCAAGCAAAGATCGTAAAGGGAAGCAAGACAGTATGGCAATGAGTAAGGGTTGGACGATTGCAGTGTTTATAAGAAAGATAGGGAAAGAAAGGGGGTGGAAAGAAAAAAAAATAACCAAAAAGGGGAGGAAAAAAAAAGAAAAAATATAAATAAAATTAGAATGATGAATGAAGTTGAGTCTATTGGAAAATGTGACCAGGTTTTGGCTAAAGATGACCCTACGATCAGGTAAAGAAAGGTCACGTTTATGAATACAAATAGAAAAAAAGATTAAGAAAAAAATAGTCATATAAAAGAACCTCGATGTAAATATATTAACAGAAAAGGATAGGAAACAAATCGAAACAGTGGTTCTCGTGTAACTTACCCAATCTAAACATAAAAGATGATCAACACCCCACCACTGCCATTAACAAGACCTGATAAAATAACAACATCAAGAGAGCTGGTGAGTGTATGAGGATCGGCTAAATCTCGTAATGTATAGTGGATGACTTTATCAGAATAAATCTTTCTGTCGCTTTCCAGTTTCGACTATTGCCAAATAATGAACTTGCGATGAGATTCAAGGTTTGCGGACGGCCAATATGGCAGCGAAAATAGCCAACAGATAAACAAAGCCTCAATGTGACGCTGTTGACATCCATAGCAGGAAATAGTAATAATCGTCGCAGATAATAATAAAAAAGAAAAGAAAAAGAAAACACGGAATAGCTTCCCAAACGTGAGGAAATTGTAATCTGTCATTAACAGGAAAAGGAAACGGAAGAGTTAATTACACTTTTTTTTTTATTTAGTTTGACACAAGGTCATATGAGCGCAGAACTTACACTGGTCTTCAGGAAAAGCGATTACATTACAGAGAGCAATATTATGGTTTCTATTATCCAAAACAAGGCCACCTTACACGAGAATTCGGTGAGAATCGAACTCAGAACATTCCTATTTGAGAGAGACTATTAAATTATAGAAAGTAACCTATACATATATAATATAAACAAGATTCCGTTAGTTCAGAACGCAACAAGAATCGAACTCACGGTACTCGTATTTGAGACAAGTTTTCTAGCCATTATCTATCTTATATATATATATAATTGTATAGCTTCTGTTAGTCTGTCCGGCACACCTTCTAAAATATCCATACATCGTCCGATTGAAACCACATCTTGGGGAGAAGTTCAAACAGGTAAAGGCGTACAAAGTACAATTGGTTTTACTAGTGTACATAGCTTAGTACAATAAATGTGCATTAAATTTTTGGTGAAAATTAAGTTTTATTATTGAACATGAAAAATACTCCCCCTATTTAAAAAAAAACAATTTAATGATTAAAATATCAAATACTTACTTATTAAACATGTAATATTATATGTTTATTTTTAAATTTTATCGATTGGTTTGCTAAACATAGATTTTTTTAAGCGATAACTTCAACAATACTAAATAACGCGTGCTGAAAAAAAAACTAGTATTATAAAAAGTTAAAATCAGTATTAAGCGTTTAGATATTTCGTATGATTGTCATGGTCAGTTTACAGTAATGGAGATCTCCTTAAGTAGCTGATGGTTTGTAAGTAAAGCTAACAACGTCTCTACGTTAAAACACTCAGGAAAAAGATGAATTTTATTAAACAAGTTTAGTTTAGTTTGGCATAAGGCCGTATTTATGGTGCACCCCTGCAATATAAACTTAGTATACTAGATGTTTGTTTTGAGAGACATTCGTGCTCTTTATAATGCTACGGTCAGCGCTGACGCATTTACTAATGTTAATTTAGTCTGACACAAGGTCACGAATAAGGAGCACCATAATCAAAGATAGTAAAATTCAGTTGGCTCAGATTGTTGACCATTACTTCAAGTATCGAGGCATTTAAAAGATGTTTAATCATTAGTATCGACATCACAATTTATATAAATCGATAATAGCTTATTAGCTATCTTGAGAGAAGTACCCCTATACTTTTTTG